AGAAAATCCTTGCTTTCTGTGTGAGAGGTGTATGAAAAATCTAAGTGCATTGGGTCTGAGACCCCCAAAAGAAGGATGATCATACCTTCCATTATACCTGTCACAGTGTTTCTTTCAGTAAGCATTCTCTTTATTAGCAAAAGTGTCACATTAAAGATGCTAAGATATATTTTCACCCTGCCTACTCCGATTCATTAGAACCATCCTAGAAAATGTTGGCAGCTCTTTACCCAGCAATCTCTCTTCTTGATTTAGGGGGAAAATGGGTAAGCAAGTTAAGACTCTAGAGCAGTGATTTCTAAACTTTTTAAATAAAAATTCACTTCAAAAATCTGTTTAAAACTATGGGTTTCTTTTACCATAGATGGGTAAGTATGCAAATAAGCACAATATTTCCAACATATTTGAGGCAATTCATGAAACCACCCCAAAGCACATTCATAGACTCCCGTTTTTAGAGTTCAGGTTAATAACTCAGCTCTAGTATAAAATCACGGAGCCACAGTAATCTAAATTAGTCTGAAATTGCCTACATGTGAATTATCTTTAGGGCCCCAATGACGCCCCCTGAATATCAGGAATAGGCCAAGACTGCCAATTCACCTGGCCTACTTGACAAGGTCCACTAGAACCATCAATAAGACTAGATTACATCCTATAACACTCCTTGGAAACATGCTGTAGCAATTCTGGAGGAGAGCAAAAGTAACTGCTGCAACAGTAGAAAGGAATAGGAAAATAAATCTTGACCCAAAGTTGCATCCAATTAAGCCAGGACAAGTTTCAGCTGATGTTCCTGATAACAAAATAAAGTCAAGAACAAAAGTCTAAATAGCCACACAGAAAATAACTTAGTAAGGTACCTCGAATGTGAGATATTATGTATTCTCACTGTTCAAAAGGTGACAGAATTTTCTTCCATTTTTCAATCACATTATAGGGACCTCTATAATGTATTATTGTCTTTGACTACCACACCACAAGTATAGAGAATTAACCATTTCACCTCCTCACATTTTCTATGAGCCAATAGAATGGAACATTAGCCATCTAGCAAGAATAAGGAAGATAATATAATCCTTTCTGTTTCCAAGGTATGGGAGGAGTCTGAAAACCACTGGCCCATGTGTTTCTATTGGCTGGAGTTAAGACTTTTTTTTCTCTCTCAATGCAACCCATGCTTATGTAGTTAAGACATTAAGGGAAATATTTCTATATAAACTTTTCTTCTTTTCTCTTTTGTACTGGGGTTTCCAACAGATGCATCCTCTCCTTCACCTTGTAGTAAATTCATTGGGACAGACTTTGTCCATGCACAGGGACACTTCAGTTTGAGTCAGAAAATGTCTATTCTGAAAGAAGATATCAAGGATTCCAAGTGGCCACAAATCCAAGATGCAAGTATAACAATGTTTATAAGGACTTTAAATATGCCATTTGACCCTCCAATATTTTAATTGAATTTACTATGGTATTTGTATATTTAAAAACCATACAAATTTTAGGAATTTGTCCTACAAATATGCTCATATAAAGGCACAAAATAAATGAACAAAGGCCTTCCCTGAAATATTGTTTGAATTTTTAAAAAAACCTCAAATATGTTAAATATCTATTTTTAGGGTAATAGTTACATAAATTATGATATATCCATAAAATGAAATGCTATACATAATTAAAAAAACCCAGTTTTGTTACTAATCATGCTTATATTTATATCTCTGACATCATATCTATCTTGAGTTGGTTCCAAACTCAGCGGAAAAGGAAAACAAGTAACACTTTATAAAGAGATACCATTAATACATTCTCACTTTTGAGGGGAAAAAAAACCCTCATTTTTTTCTATTCTTAGTAGTGGAAATCTCTAATGGACTTAATTCACAGGATACATAATGACAGGATTACCTAGAGAGCAGAGCTAGTAGGAACTTGATTGATGCAGTCTCAAACTTCAAATCCCAGGTTGAAAAAGCCTATGTGGTGATTAGTCCAAAGTCTCTTTATAGCTAAATAAGAACTAGAACTCAACAACAAGCCAGCTTTAGTGTATATTGACATGTGTCTCCCTCAGATTTCTGTCGCTCCTATGTTATTGAGATCAGGCAAAATCTGACAGGAATTTAATCAGATACCTGGATTTCACTGATAAAATTTCAACTATTTTAGTTAGCATTATACTATAACATGTTTTCTAGGAACTCTGAATAAACTAAGAGAGTGAACAAGTAATAGAGAAATTATGTTTTGAAACTTCAACACAGAAGAGTGGTAAGAACACATAATAATTTCTAGATGAGTTAAGAATCAGTACATCTGAGAGAACTTGCACCCAGAGTTCATAAAGAACTCTTATAGCTAAAAAGTAAGAAGGAAAATGACACATTAAAAAAATAGTATTACGATAGATGTTCAAGGTCCACTTATGAGTGAGAACATGATACTCATATCTTTGTTTCTGTGAGAGATCACTCAGTATTATAAACTCTAGTTCCATTCAGGTTGCTGCAAAATTCATGATTTTGTTCTTTTTTATGGCTGCATAGTATTTCATCGTGTATATGTAATACTATAAGAAAAGGATTGACAATGGTGGGAAACTATGGTAGGGGGCAGGGTGGGGAAGGGAGGTGGGATTAACGGTAGTCAATATCTGTCTGGGGACAGGGGGACACCCCTTATCAACCAGGGTGCCTGAACGATGTATATTTCTATACCTAACTCTTAACTGTACCCTACAAATGTAAAGTAAAAAATATGTTTAAAAAATATATAAATAAATAAGCACATATTTAAAAGAACATATAAGAGTGGTGAACAAACATATGAAAAGATGTTCAACAGCATTTAGTCATTAGGGAAATATAAATTAAAACCACTTTATACCCACTAAGATGGTATAATAAAAAAACACAGATAATAACTGTATTGTCAAGGATGTGAAGAAACTGCAACCCACAGCCCTCACACATTGCTGGTAGAAATGTAAAGTGGTGCAGTCACTTTGAAAAACAGTTTGGCTGTTTCTTAAAAAGTTAAACATAAATGTACCATACCAATAAGAAATTCCAGTTCCAGGTATCTTCTCAGAAGAAATTAAGTCCACACAAAGACTAGTACACCAATGTTCATAGCAGCATTACTCATATTATCCCCAAACTAGAAATTACCCAAATGTTCATCAACCAGTAAATGAATAAAATATACTTTTTCCATGGAATGGAACACTAGTATTCAATAAAAAACATCAAATTACACATACATACTACAAGACAAAGGAATATGAAAAACATTATGCTAAGTGAAAGAAGCCAGCTGCAAAACACCACATATCTCATTTATATGAAAGATACAGCAAAAACAAATCTATGGAGACAGACAATAGATTAGTGGTTCCTTGGGGATAGGAGTGAGAAAGAGGAATGACTGCAAATAGGATATTTGGGAATAAAAGAAATATGCCAAAATTGGATTGAAGAGATGGCTGCACAAGTCTGTAAATATACTAAAAGTCATTGAACTGTACACAATAAGATCTTAATAAAGCTGTTCTGGAAAATAAGGAACCAAGTATGAATTGGACAGCAAGCAATAACTGAAAATGAATGAAACTGAGTAGATACAATATTTTTGAAGGGGGTATGGCAATGTCCATATGGACTTTTATATACCATTTGACTCTCCACTATTTTAAGTTAATACAATACTTGTATATTTTAAAAATACACAAATTTTATAAAATTTTCCTACAGATATATTCATATAAATGCACAAAGTAGATGATCAAAGAGCTCCCCTGAAGTATTGTTTGAAAATTTTTTAAAACTCTAAAATATTTTAAATATCTATTATCCAGGTAATAGTTACATAAATTATGATATATCCATTAAATAAAATATATGCAGTTTTTTTTTTTTTTTTTTTTAGAAAGCAGGATTTATTGAGAGGACAGAAAAGCTCCCACAGTGGGAGGGAACCCGAAGGGGTTGCCCTATGCAGAATTTTTAAAGACATTAGGTAGCTATTTAGGAAAGTTGTGTCTACTATATATTGTCAATTTTTAAAAAAAGCTGTGTAACACATATGATACATTTCTCATTTGGGTAAATATATGTTTGCATATGCAAAGACTATGTATGAAAGAATATACCAAAACATCATCTCTGAAGAGTAGGAATGGGGAAAAGGGAATGAAGACTTTTATTTTTAATTTGTGTATCTTTCTCTACTATTTTAACTTCTCACAAATTACATGTTTTACTCTTATAAAAGCAAATTTAAATTAATTAATAAAATACCACTGAAAAGAGAAGTTAAATAAAGGAATCAGTTTGCCACCACTTGAGAATTAACAATAAATATGTTGAAACTTTCTGATGCAGAAAAACAAATCCTGCTTTATAATTAACTAACCATTTTGTGAAAAGGATTATACCAGTAGACCTTGCATTGTTGCAGTGAGGAGAAGATAGCTCTTAAAAGTTTCAGCATATAATATATGGCTTTATACAACAAGAGATTAAAAATGGTCAATTACTAGATAGCTCAATGAAGATATTGCTCTTAGAGGAAAACATGGACAATTTCCCACATGCTACAGATGGTGGCAATCTGTTCAGTATTGAGCTGCTTTTCTCTGATGGGGGAATATAAAAAGATCATCTTCACTTTTCTCTAAGTACATAACAGCAGGGTAGTAATAGTAACTGTTACCATTTATTCAGTGTCTGGCTGGGTACTTTACGTACACACATTATCTATGATCCTCACATCAACTCTGCAAAGTAGGAATTACTGTACTCTTCATTTGAGGACACAGGCTCAGAGAATTAAATTCCTTGCATGATAAACCATGAACAGCATGTCCTAATAGACCTAAGTCTCTTTCATGTCAAGGTTGACACTTTTCCACCAAGTCTTACAGTAAGATAGAGTGTGGTTAGAGTTCCTTTCATGATTTGAGCAGCCAAGTATTTTTACATCAAAGTTCAAAATTTTACCTGTTCATCTACTTCTTGAAAACTGTCAACATCAGTGCCGTTTGTTTCAAGCTTTCCACACGTGCCACTAAGAGATGAGCTGCTATCACTTATGCTGCTTTCGGGGGTACCTGTGACACTGTCACTAGCAGGTCGTGAAGACACAAAGAGGCTGATGTTCTCAAAATCATCATCACAGAGCCTGTTCTCAGTATCGACTTTCTGCATTTTTACTGGATTGTAGGGTTTTAGGAAGGAAGAATACACATATCCTTTCACAACTGGATAGGAAATAAAAAGAAAGAAGAGCCAAGGTCATGGGTATATTCTTCCTGAACATGTGTGCTTGGAGAAGTACACAGTGGCCCCTGGGAGAGTTTCCAAGTAGGGGTAGCTCTGGAAATAACTTACTTCCTGTATCAACAAGCCACCTGCTTGTACTCCCCAATGGATCTTTCTGTTCCATCACAGCCACCAACTCTCCTTCCAGAAGACTGATGTCGTATTCTTGTGTCGCATTGCACTTGCGCTTAACTTGATAGAGTTCTTCTGCATTGTACGTGGATAGAAGTTTGGAGCGGTGGATGTCAGTTTGACGTGGCATTTCTGACTGAGAGAAGTAAGGAGACGTTTTGGTTTAGATAGAAGTATCATAATATTCTCACTGAGTTGGTAAATATTTTTACTCCAGAGGTTTTTAAAAAATGTAGACTTCGTGCATTGATTTGGGTTATTTCAAGGTAGAGGTTTAGATCAAGCTATTATTGTAAAGTACCCAGTTGAGTTATTCTGTGAACCACTCTCTAGTAAGCACAGGAGGGCAGTTTTGTAGAGAAGAAAGAATAAGAAGAAGCAGGCAGAGGTTCTAATCCCTTTTGGATGTTGAGCAACTTTTTAATTCTTTGCCATTCTGTAAACAATCCCTTGCATATTAAGTACTTGATAAATAAAATCTAATTAATTCCATTGCATATGTGCAAGTCTTTTTCTGGGAAAGAGTATCAGCAAATTAGGCAGGAGTCAAGAAGCTTGTATCCCTTTGCAGCTCTGACACTAAGTGACTTTGAGAAAACCACTTCATCTCTGGGGCCTATGACACCTTATCTAGAAAATAAAAGATTAATTTATCTCTATAATCTCTTATTTGACAAATATTTGTTGAGTACCTATCTAGTGACAAACACCATTTTAGGCACTTTAGGGATGCATCATGAACAAAACAAAAAAATTCATATTTTTATATATAGCACATATGCAATCGTATGTACTGTACTATACATATAGTATAGAGGGTAGAAATAGATACTAACAAATTCTACACATAAGTAGGCAAATTACAGGATATTGGAATGGCCTAAATAATGTGGAAAATATGATACTATGATTTGGACACAGCAAAGAAGTGATATTCATCATTGTCATGGATGCTGCCAAACTCACCAGAATCTGCACAGGCTTCTTCTTTTCAAAACTGAGTTTTCTTTCAATAAAAGTGGTACTGCTATCTTTTACAAAATTCATGTTTTGAACCTCTTCTAGTACTCGATTCTGAATCTCAGAAATGTTTGAAACCAATAGTGGCACCTATAGATAGAAATGATATAAGCGTTGTTTCCAGATAACCAGGTAATCATATGAGATATTAATGTTAGTAGAGTTGCAATGAACAGTTGAGAAGGTATATAATAGCTCCATGGTGAAAAATTAGGGCAACTTTATAGCTTCTTGATAAAGAAGGTCTAATTTTCTATCTCTAGAAACTCCACTAAAATGATAGGGATAGTTTTTTTGTTTTTTTTGTTTTTTTTTAAAGATTCAAGCCTAAATAAAAGAAGAACAGAAGAGAAAAAAGTAGCAACACAGTTTTGGAAGAAAGGCCCAGGAATTGATGGCCGTAGGTATCTCCTATGTGGTGGGTTAGGGAAGTGGCAAAGGGAAAGCAGCTAAAACAAGAAACAGTGATTAAGGGCTGTTGGTTTTAAAACAAATCAGCAAATTCTTTGAAATGCTTTCAATCCAGAAATGGAGTTTATGTCCTCGCCTCTCATAAACTGGGCGGACATGGCACAGTGGTTCACACCTGTAATCCCAGAGACTCTGGAGGTTGAGGTTAGAGAATCACTTGAGGCCAGGAGTTCTAGAGCAGCCTGGGCAACATAGTGAGATTCCATCTCTAAAAAAAAATTTAAAAACGTAGCCAGGCATGGTGGCACATGTCTGTAGTCTCAGCCACTGAGGAGGCAGAGGCAGGAGGATTACTTGAATCCAGGAGTTTGAGACTGCAGTGAGATCATGCCACTGCATTTCAGCCTGGGAGACAAAAGTGGGATCCCAACTCAAAAAAACCAAACTAAACCAAACCAAACCAAACCAAAATTGGCGGGCCTTTATGATAGCCTCAATGAGTAGAATGTTAAAATGAATAGAACAGGAGAAGTGAGGTTGCCTGATTTTCAAGATTAGGCTAAAAAAGACCATGCAATTTCTATTAGTTTCTTTTGGGACACTCACTCCAGAAGCCTGTAGTCACCATGGAAGGAGTTCAGTAGCACTATGACCACCATATAAAAAGACCTTGTTAAAAGATCAAAGAGAGAGAAAGAGATGACTTTGGAGGTCCAGCTGCTCAAGTCTTCCATCATCATCCCATCACCAGCTTCAGACATGGACCTGAGGAAGTCTTTAATATGACTCCAATCTCAGCTATTATCTGACTGCAACCTCTGAGAATGACCAGCTTGAGTTCACTGAAACTCAGAACCATGATAAAATAATAAAAATGACTATTTCCTGTTTCCTACCACCATGTTTGGTGTTTTTTGTTATACAGTCATAGACCCTTGGAAGTGTTTTCAAAGCAACTCAATTCCCAGATCATTTCTCCACATCAATGAAGTTGTATGATTGTCTCTTTCCTGTCTTGGCAGAAGATAAAATTTTCATTTCTGCAAATGGTAAAACAAAGAGCCTTTAGGGGACATTAGGCACAAATAAGGGTGGGAGAATGATGTACAGAGAAAAGAATGGATGTACAGAGAACTCAGTGTTACCCCCAACTCCTGCAACCAGCCCCAGCCAGGCCTAGCAGCCAGACTATTATCCTCCAAACAGAAGTCTTAAAGAGTTGTCTCTAGATATGTTGACCAGTCCAAGAGGAAAGTCAAGGGACCCAAATGAAATGACAGCCAGATTATACTACACAATAGTGAAGCTTATAGTTTACAACTCCTACATAAGTGCTCACTGCCAACAATTAGTCTCCAACTTTATCAGTAGTGAATAATTAAGCATATCAAATATCCAAGGCATCCAATAACATGAAAGAATCTGATAAAAAGAAAAGCAACTTATATTAATTTTAAGAAATAAAAAAGACCCCTTGAAACTAAGAGAGCAGGCATAAAACTAAATCAAAAAATAGGTAGAAGTGATAAAGAGCTAGAAATTCAGTAGTAAAAGATGATAAAATTAGAGGAACAATCCAAGAAGTACAGAATGAGAAAAAAGAGAGAAAAGGAAGACAGAAAAGTCACCAATGAAATAATCAAAGGAAATTTCTAGAAGTGGAAGATATTAAAGATCTCACCCATGTCCAATACATCATTAAGTTTCATACTGAGAGGGACAAGCTGCAAACTTTCAGGGATAGCATAGGATAAGCACATAAAAAGAATCAAAAATTAGAATGAACTTCAGAGTTCTCAGCAGAAAGAGTAAATGCTAGAAGACAATGGAACAACAAAATACCTTCAAATTCAGAAAGAACAACTCAGAATTCTACACCCAGCCAAATTGTCAATTAAGTGTAATTATCAATTAAGTATAAAGATATTTTCTGATACTCATGGTGTCAAAATATTTACCTCCAAATTATCTTTTCTTAAGGAACCACTAAAAAAATGCTTCCTACAAATAAAGGCACAAAAGCAATAAATGGATAAGACACATTTTTAAACAAAGAGATCTTATACAGAAGGGAAATGAAAGGAGTCCTCAAAATGAAGTATGATCCCAGGATTACTGATAGTTATCAGATAAAAAGAACAGCTACCTCTAATTGAAGTGTATCAGAAAGCTCTCCCAGAGAGCTTTCTGCAAGAAGACACAATTGATACAGTATCTTGTCTGAAAATTTTAAGAGGGGATCAATTTAGTCAACTGATATAGTTAGGCAAAGGAAAATTAAGCAACTGATAAAATAAACAATTACTAACTTTAGAGAAAACAAAAGTTATGCATATAAGAAGAGCAATTATAGTGTTTTGGGTGGCTCAACCCTAGGCAGTATTGACTTTGCATGTTAGATATGTTTGCTTCTTCAAATTCATTCTCTTTTCCATCCTGCTGCATACTCTGGGAGGCTGGTCAGAATAGAATGTATCAACAGCTTTCTTGCTATCTGGCTTCCAAATGGGTTCAATAAATGAATAGCATCCATAGGGAATTAGAAGGGGGAGGGAAATGAGATAAGGATATTTATTTCCTAAGTTTGCTTTCTATAGTATTGACTGAAAGGCACATCTCCTATCAGGTCACCCTCTCCACACATCTTTCTCTCTGCACTTTCCTATAACCACTTCCTCCCATATCCCTTTAAATCTAGATGTCATACTCCTCACCCTCTCCCCTATTTGGAGCAGGGCTAAAGATTTTATTGTGTTATACTCACATATTTATAAATAGTTTCTGTGTTAAATCTTTCTTTAAATGCACAATTTGAATGTGTTGTTTTTCCTACTGAGATAATGACTGATACACAAGTTAAATACTTTAAGCACTGAGTGTGAATTCAATCAAATTTATGATATAACTGTATTGGAGAGGGGATAAAAATTATGTGTTTGAATATCAATGAGCTAAGGAAATAGAAAGAAAAGATAGTTAAATCATTTTTCATGGTGGAATATATTATGCCTAAAATGGAAACATAATGAAACGGCAATACAAGAGTCTTATTTTAAAATATAAAGGGAATGCTAAGAGAATCATCTAAAAGTGTTAAAAGGTAGGAACCACTGAGGAAGGAGAAATGAAGGAAAGGAAGTGATGGACAACTATTTTTCTTAACCAAGCCTGAACTACTTGGATCTTTAAGTTATATGCATGCATAACTCTGATAAAAATAAGAATTAAAAATTCAGCTTTGAATTCTTCAAAAAGTTAAAAATAGAATTTCCAAATGATCCAGCAATCCCACTTCTGGGTGTATATTCAAAATAATTGAAAGCAGGATCTTTAAGAGATATTTGCACACCCAAGGTCATCACAACATTATTCACAACATCCAAGAGATAGAAGCAACCCAAATGTCTGTTGATATATAAGTGGATAAACAAAATGTGGGAAATATATACAAATGAAATATTATTCATATTTAAAAAGGAAGGAGATTCTGTAACATGCTACAATATGTATGAACATTATGCTAAGTAAAATAAGCCAGTCACAGAGACAAACACCGTATAATTCCACTTATATGAGTTATCTAAAGTAGTCAGATTCATAGAAATAGAGAGTAGAATGATGGTTTACAGGAACTGGGGAGAGGGAAAATAGGGACTTGTTTAATAAGTATAGTTTCAGCTTTGCAAGGTGAAAATGTTTTGGAAATCTGATGCAGAACAATGTAAATATACTTAATATTACTACATTGTACACTTAAAATGGTTATGATGGTAAATTTTGGTTTTGGTAGATAATTAGAAATTAAAATTTATAGATTTATAGATTATTATTCTCATTTTATTCACGTTAGGACCTTGAAACAGAGGGATAAATTAATTTGTCCAAGGTAATATGGTGATGAGTGGTTATTAAAACAAAGCACTCTAGTGCCTGAGTCTGTTATTCAATCACTATTCAATTCTGCCTTTCAGAAACATATATGTAAATAGCTATACAAGATGTTACCATTGGATAAGCTGTGTGAAGGGTATATGGAATTTCTGTATTACTTCTTACAACTGCATATAAATCCATAATTATCTCAAAATAAAAAGTTTAAAAATATATAGTACATATAAAATAGAGAATGAAATCATTTTAATGAAGATAACCTCTCCAAAATGCTTTTGACTTTAAGACGCTAGTAATTTCTCAAAAACAAAGTATCTCTTTGCTCCTTTTCTGCTATGAACTACAATATAAAGATCCCTGAATAATTTAAAAGAGAAACTGAAGACACCTTTAAAAATTCTATGATTCAAAGACACTAAGGTAGCATGATTTTTCTGACTAGTAAGTTCCTGCCAAAACTCAACTTTATTGTTAACTTATGAACTTGTCTTCTACCATGACTCCAGAATGAAATAATCCAAAGAATCTGCAAATTAAATAAATTTCATTGTGAAAATAGCACCCATAAGAAATAATTTTTAAGTAAACAGTGTTTGGGCAACTGGATACTCATCTGGAAAAAGATAAAGTAATAATGGAAAGAGAACTAGTAACCGTAACCCTCCATGAGGAGACTTACTGTGATAATCTAAGGTTATGGTGATTACTTTTTTGATATTAGAATTTATACTTTCTTACACAAATATTGTTACATAATAAACCAGCATACAATGTATATAGATTGAATATTTAAATAAAAAATATAAAACCATAAATATATGAGAGGAAACATGAGTGAATGTATTTGGAGCTTCAAAATGTGGAATTCCTCCCTGACCTTCAAAATCTAGAAACCATAAAATGAAATTAATAAATTTGGCTACATTTGAGAAAACCCAAACATTTGCATGACAAAAAAACGCAAGTTAAAGACAAGAAGTAAACTTTGAAAAAATAGACTCAATTTACATACCAGACAAAAGATTCATCTCACTAGTATATACATTGCTTCTAGAAATTGAGGGGAAAAAAGGACCAAGAACTCAAGAGAAAAAAGACATAAACATCTAGCTCACAGGAAGATAAATATAAATAGCCCTAAAATGTAAACATTTTCAGTCTCACTAATAAGCAAAAAAATGTAGATTAAAATTACACTTCAAACCTATTTGACTGACAAAAATTCAGAGTAACTAGCACTTTCAAACGTTGCAAGTGGGAATCCAAAATGGTACAACTGTTAAGGAGGAAATCTGGCAATATCTAGCAAAATCACTTGTCTTTACCCTTTGACTCAGGGATCCCACTTCTAGAAATCTGTTTTACAGACATATCTGCCCAAATATAATGACCCTGGCATGATTTGTAATTTAGAAAAGTTTGGAAACAGTCCAAATACGCATCACTGGGGATAGGTTGATACAAAAATGAATATATATTGTATAATTCCATTTATATGGTGTGCAAAACAGGCCAAAGTCTATGGTAATACAGGTCAGTAAAATGGTTACCTTGAGGGTACTACAGCCTGGGAGTGGTCATGTGTGATCCTTATGGGGAACCAGAAAGGGCTTATATCTTGACGTAGGTGGTGACTACAGATGCACATATGCAAATATTGATTGAAAAGTACACTTCAAACTGGTACACTTTGTACTATCTAAGTCATAGTTCAATTTAATAAGTTCTAAAATATGGTGCTCATCAGGGAAATACAAATTAAAACCATAATGTGATATCATTTCACACTCACGAGTATGGCTATAATGAAAATAATTTGAAACCCATAATCATTACTGCTGTGAAGGGAGAATAGAGCAGCCATTTTGGAAAACAGTCTGGCAGTTCTTCAAAAAGTTAAACACAGAGTTAGCATATGATCTAGGAATTCTACTCCAAATTTATACTGTACCCAAGAAAAATGAGAACATATATTCACTAGAATTTTAATGTAGTCATATTAGAATGGCCCAAAGTGGAAATGACCCAAGTGCCCATCAGCTGATTAATAAATAAGTAAAGTGTGGTATATCCATACAATGGAATGTTATTTGGCAATAAAAAGAATGGCGCACTGAAACATGTTACAAGTATAAACCTTTAAACGTTATGCTAAGTGAGACAAGCCAGTCACAAGGAGTCATATATTATTTGGTTTCATTTATACAAAACATCCAGAATTGGCAAATCTGTGGAAACAGACAGTGAGGTGACAGTTGCTTAGGGCTGAGGAGGTTGAGGAGAAATGTGAATGGGTATAAGTTTTCTTTTGAGGATGATGACAACATTCTAAAACTGTGGTAATGACTGCACAACTCTTGTGAATAGACTAAAAATCACCGAATTGTGTACTTTAAAGGGGTAGAATGTATGGTATATGAATTATATCATTATAAAATTTTGACCAAAAAAAGTAGAGAACTAGTTACACATTATTATACAGCCATACGATAGATTACTCTAAAACTGTAAGAAGAGTGTGAAAGTCTACTAATACACTGAATGAAAACATCCCCAGAATAGATTGTCAAAAAGCTAGTTGAGTAATAGTGTATATAATATGCTAGTTTGGGGTTTTAGTTTTAGGAAATGAAAAAATATATTTGCATCTATTTGATAGGAGTGAGGGATGGGGTCCTAGGGGAACATGGTGGATTTAAGACTTCTTATATGTTTTTACATAGTTTTCACTTTTGAACCATGTAAATATAACACCTGTTTATTCAATTTAATCTAATTCAAAGTATAAGTTAAAAGTTAATTAAATGCACAATAGAAGATAAAGTAGGGGGAATTAATTCTGCTCCACGTGTTGTCCATTGAATAGCTAATCAGCTGAATGAAAACTCATATATTTGAAATGAAGAGCCAAGAAACAAAACTGATTTTTAAAATTGATATCAGGTTGTAAATATCTTCCTTCCTCATCAGAAAAGTAATTATAAATTATACCATAATGGGAAGCTGAGCTACACACACACACACACACGCGCGCACACACACACACACACACACACACACACACACACACACACACATCAGGCTTTTTTTCCCCAGAGAAAAATAAAAGCAAAACAAAGACTGACTTAACAGTTATCCTGAGTCTGTCATTATGCTGAGATGGACTTCTTTTTAGAGCCGTATCTTAAATAGTCATGACTAACATCTAAGAACCATTGATTGAGAAAGAATACAAAATATAAATTGATAAGTCTTAGTGTAGCAGCAGGCCAGTGGAGTAAAGCTGAAAGGTGTTTGGTATTAGAAAAGGAATCTCAAAAAAGAGAAAAGAATTATAAATGTCTAAGTCACAGTAAACCCTGAACTAGAAAACTCCCTTTTTAGCTTCCTATGGGGGAAGAGAGATAAGGAGTAGAAGACTATCTGGCTTTAAACACACACACACACACACACACTACACACACACACACACACACACACACACACACACACACACACACCACACCACACACACATACACACATGCACCACACCACATACACATGTGCAAATTCTGAATAGGGCTTGTTTTGCATGGATGTGGTTTCTAGTAGCTCGGGTAGGCCAAGATAGCTGGGTGCTGGTGTTGTGCTTACCAGTACCACTGTGGAATAAGCCTGCTGTGTCTTGAGCATTAGGTCCCTGAGGAGGGTGATAATGCTATGCAGACAGTTCAACAGAATCCTCCTAGCAGCCTGGTTGAACACCTGGAGCTCTTCCACAAGCTGGGCATTGAGGGCCTCATACTCCTTTTTCGCCAAGTCTGACTCATCTCCTGCTGACCGCTGCAGGTAGCTGTTGTAATCCAGCAGTTTGTCATAGCGTTTCTGGATGAGCTTGTGAGGCCCTGGGAATAAGTACAGCAGGGCTGACAGAGGGGTCAGGATGAGTCTTTGTAAGTGAGCTGCCTGCCAAAAGAAAAAACGATCCCATTATAGAGACAGGAACAATTCCTACCATGTCTAGTGCTATAATCAGAAAGCTTACCTTTTCCCTGGAGGAGCACAAAGTAAAATAGGAAAAATAGGAAAGCGTCTAGTCAAGTTAAATGGAATCTGATCATTTTTGTGTCTGGCTAAACCTATTCAAAGACTTAAAACAGAGACTTTAGGCTGTAACACTGAACCTAAAGAGTAAACAGAAAGAGGAATACAAAAGTAAAAGCCTGCTCACCCAAAATATAATTCCATCTTTTTTTCTACAGTCATTGGTTTCGTTATGGGAGTCATGTCCTTCAACACATTTTCCTTCCCCTATTTTCTAATCCCAGAGTCTGCACATGGGGGCAGGGGTTAATCTCCAACCTTTGTCTACCAAGACTGGGTAAAAGATACACCATGTCACTCCTGCCCTTTGCTGGCAGCAAAAGGAGTACAGTTGGTCGTATAGGAGACTGTACCCTATCTTCCTTATCTTGCTACATCAGCCTCTGGGAATTTATTTTTGGTAGTAGAATTTTATCCTCTATACAAAGAGTAACACTTAATATAGATATTTCAATCTTGAGATAGAAAAGACCACAGTTACAACTTCTTTTAAAATACATGGAAGTATTTAGTCGATGCTAGTTCTGTGACTTAAATTGTTACCTTCATAGGTCTGAATTATTAAAAGTGAACTTCATATCAATGCGCAACTCATGTCATCACCTGATAATCCTAGATTTAATGTCTTCTATGTCTCTTTTGTCTCCCTCTATTCTGAAATGCACTGGTAACCTATATTTACTGACTTCCCTGCTTTACCCCTTATCATATATGCCTAGGGTACATAATTAAGTTATGATAATTTGGCCAGACTTGGTAGCTCTTACCTGAAATACCAGTATTTTGGGAGACCAAGGTGGGAGAATTGCTTGAGGCCAGGTGTTTGAGACCAGCCTAGGTGCACAGAGAGACTTTGTGTGTACAAGAACTAAGATAATTAACCTGGTGTGGTGGCACACACCTGTAGTACCAGGTACTTGGAAGGCTGAAGCAGGAGAGTTGCTTTAGCTCAGGAGTTTGGGGCTGCAGTGAGCCATTATTGTGCCACTGTACTCCAGTTTGGGTGACAGTGTGAGACTCTAACTCAAAAAATAAAATAGAATATGTTACAATAATTTAGAAGTAGTTTTCTTTTTTGTTCCAAAAGATGTGCTAGTGAGTCAGTATCTGAGCAGCAGTTTGTATTAATTAACTTAAATGACCTCTGGTAACTATCTGAGCTCATGGGAAATCTAGGAGAGAGAGAGACCAATCTCTTATTGGCACCAGTAATAGCCAACACAGATTAAATTTGATGTCTAGCTTATGAGATAATCAATATACACCTACAGACTGTTTAATGAGTCCCTTGACTAAGCCAAGAATCTATTTACTATATCTTGGATAAATTATTGTGTTTGTGACTTGACTGAATTGTACAGGTAATCTAATTATACTATCGCAGTTATAATTGCAATGTATATATCCAATAATTCATAGACATAAACTGATTCACTAGTACATAGGAATTGTGGTTGGTACCAATAAGAATCAGATTTTAGTTTAATATTTTGTCCTAACAAAATGAGTAGATAAGTATCACTCACAGTAAGATAAGAACAGCTGCTCTGTCTTTAGATAGGTTTTGAGTTCTTAATATTTGATTTTTAAAAAGAGTTCTGTGTATATTAGCCATTAAAAAGTTACTTTTGTATTGGACTTTCTCATAATTATTTTAATTTGGTTTAATTATCTTGTGTGTTTATGCAAGGTAGGCAGGATACCTTCTTTCTGTTAAAGTCTAGAGCATGCTTGCTGAGGAAGAAGCTACAAACCACGTTCTCAGGTGGTACTCAATAAATATTTATTGACTTAATAAATTGAAATTAAACTAAAAAGCAAGCCTAAGGACTTTTCTAAAATAATCTCCTTGTAACTAAATGCAGAAAATACATAAAGACCTAGTCACACTTTTTCCAGTAAACTTATGCTGTAAAAATGTATCTGTCTATCAATCATCTATCATCTAGCTACCTGTTCATTCATCCATCTGTGATCTACCTATTTATCTATCTATTGTCTCAGGTCAGATATAATCCTGACTTTCCATTCCCTGGTGCTAGAAAAGCAAGATGTGTCTACATGGTTTTCTAACAGGTTGGGAGCGATATCACTTCCCAGGATTTGGAAATATGTGAGACTCTTCACTGGTTGCCACAACAACTTAACACAGGGGGATGTTACTGAGATTTTTGAGCCTGGTGGACAGGAATGCTAAACATCCTCCAACATAATGACCACTCAGTGAATATTTGTCTGACCCCAAATGCCAATGAAGCCAACACGAAAAATGCCACTTTTAAGATGATGAAGGAATCTATTATATCTTCCTCTTTTCTTGAAATACTACAATAAAGTAATAATACCTATAGCATCACAGAGCACTAAATCAATATCAGAATTACCCAGACTAGCTTACTACTCAAATATTGTATTGACCCAGGCATATTTTTATGACTCCCAAGATATACCTTATAGAACTTTAAGACAATAAATATTTTACCATATAAGAAATAATATGAGAGTCTTAAGTAAAAGCCCTTTCTTATAGGAAAGTTTTGCTTTCCAGTGCTTGTCATATCTTCAGAGAATGCTTTTGCTCCTTCTGTTGGACTCAGAGCATTTCCAGAGACTTCTTTAAGAAAATCACAGCTTTCTAACTTAATAAATCTTTAACATAACATATGCAGACTTAAGCTAAATATTGATTTTAAAAGCTGCTCTGACACTGAATATCCCTAGAAACACAGTCTATGGTCCTCTTAAATTTCTATTATAGTAAAATCCTCACTAGTCCACTTTAAAAATATTTAATGATTTTAAAATATCCTGTTTAAATCTACTAATTTTGACATTAGCATTTACTTTAGTATGGGCTTTATTTCAGACTACAGAAAAATAAATGAAAAGCAACTTTTCCTTTAACCTCTATTTAACTTGCATTTATCTGTGACAATAAATAACTTACAAAGTCATGACAGAGATTTAAAGCATTATTTGGGGTTTCTGAACAACCCCTTTCCTCCTCATCTTTGTTGTATAAAATCTCCCGAAAATCCATTACACTCTGCAGAACCCAGGGCATGGAGTCCTGAAATCCAAGAACAAAGTTACAAAAAAAGCAAGTTCTGAGGTCAGTATAATTAAACGTATCTCACATGTGGATATAGTCATCATAACTCTTCATTAAAAAGAAGGAATGATAATAATTTAATGAATACTCAGTAAAATCAGGTTACTTATAAGAACCTATTTTCGTATTTTTCTGTCACTTCCTCATAATACTCTGTATGCAACCCTCTTTGATTAAGTCGAGTCCCTCTAAAGTTTCCTCATTGACCATTCTTAAGCACACAATTCTTACAAATTCCTTATTTTAAAACCACTCCTCTTTGATTTATATTATTCATTTCCCTTAGTGAATTTAACACTCTCTTTAAGAGAAGATTCTCACATTTTTGTTGAATCAGTTGATGGAAATGGAAGACTTTCCTATAGGTGTTCCTAAGAGGCATTTACTTCTTGAAAGATACATAGAGGATAGGGTTCCCATTCCCTCTGACTGTTATACTGGGTTTTGTTTTTTTGCAGAAGACAGTGCTTTAGAAAAAGAATTGCAAACCTAATTGTAAAATTACGCTTCACATTAGACAATAAAAAAGGAAAGAATGATGTGTGAAACCTTATCTCCAAATCACTGTGCCCGTCAACTTAATCCTCTGCTGGTATATTTTATCTATGAGTGCAGATATCTGCTTTCATAAACAGATATCCAAGAGAAAAACTTTTGGAAAATGGGTGTCATTTAATAACTGATTTACATGTAACCCTACTAACTTTCTATGTCTCATAGTCGTAATCATTGTCAAGATGTTAAGAAGTTTCCTCTTTATGAGACCCTTTAGAAGAAACCTCTGTCTGGTCCAACACTAACTGGTTGGTTACAATCAGTGATTCTCAAGAGGTTCAGGACAACTTGTTAGTGGATTGGAAATTTATGAGGGTATTTTTGTCTTTAGGTATAATCTTGTGGGAGCATTTTTATATTTTTGTAGCTCATATAATTGTGTAGTTTGATTTATTTTCTTTTATGCTGATTTTTATACTTATTTTAGATACGGGAAAGTTATGTGTTAGTACAATCAAACAAGTAAAATGTCTACATTATGAGAAATTTTGTATTAATGAACTTATCTCTATTATAAAGAAAACATGTGGATGGTTTGTGTGGCAATCACTGGAGCAAAAGTCCCACAATATAGCCATTTGGACTAGGGAAAACGTAGAGCAGGTAAGAGGACAAAAAGCAAAACTCGAATCCTTATATTTCTTCCTTTCCTAGGAGTCTATAGTCTTCCAAGTTTGATACAGTAAGTGCCATCATATAAATGAATGAACAGTCACATTTGCTTTTCATAATAAGTATGGAAATCAATGCATTCTTGTGGAGACATTGAAAACCTACCTGCATGTGTTGAAGACAGAATGAAACGTTTTTCACACAATGCCTCACAGTCTTTTCTAAAGATCTAAACAGTTTCTCTTCCCTGTTGAAGATATTATCTTTCACCTAAAATATATATGAGATTATTTATTTTCATAATTGAAATGAATATTTAAAAAGATAAATAGCACAGGCCACATTGGTCCAACACATTATAAAGAAAATCCTTGTTAATATGAAAACCTTTCATGATATGCTGACTGTCTTGACACAGCACTTTCTGTGTTGACACACTGTCCAACTGATGTTCAATTTGAATAGCAAAATCATGTCCTGCAGCTTAATTTGATTTTAAAAATCTTTTGTTTTTTTAGTTCAATTTTTTGTTGTTCATTTCTACATAACTTCACCTATGTCATAGTAGCTGTAGGACTGTAAAACTTTTCTCTTTAGTTTTTAGTGATATATATTGTGTATGTGCTCAAATTATACTACATTTTAGGGTTTATAAATTTGATATATTGACTGAAACTCATTATTTTACTTATATGATTCTTTCCAGTTTATTCCACAGTGCTTACTTAGAAAATATTCCTAGATTCGTGCTTAAAGAAATGTGGTATTTCTTTATCAACTCAAATTTGAAGGATGACATATAAATCTTTGCAAAAGTTGTCAGTTAAGGTTAAGAGTTAAGACAGTGGTCATGTGTTCAGTTATTTTTTGTCATTTTACATGTACATTTATTCACATTCAGAAAAATGTACTTTTTATGTGGTGGTCTGGAGGAACACAACCTTATTTTTCCTATTAATGGTAAGAAGTATTTCTTGGCAATCAAAATGGCAACAAGACAAGATGGAGCCAGCTTCATGCTGGCAAAATCTGTGTGAACATGCAAATGTTTTGTGGAATAGGGTATGTATCATTCAGTTTGGCACTGAGTAATAACTGTAGTTGTTCTTGGTTCACAATTTTTTAAAAATTTAAGATGGTTGTCCTTAGAACTGAATGAATAGAAAATGGCGATATTTTATCTCATTTTTAAACCCCTTAATATTGTTTATCTAGAAAGCTTTTGATTAAATGGGCAGCAGAGTTCTTTGTAATTCACACAAAATCCAACAACTTCTGCCTTAAAATTGCCATGCTCTGACTCAGTCTGGTGTATACAGCAATATGCTGGGGCAGATTTTTTAAAATGCAGTTTCCAAGGAGCCATCACCAGATATTTTATTTTTTATATCTTGGCTGAGATCCAGATGATTCTAAAGTAGAAGGTTCAAGAATCATACTGTGAGGAATATTGCCCAATTCTACTTCCCTATAACCAAGTCTTTTTCATGCTGTTTTCTTTTACTGGAATATGTTGCTGTTCGTTTTCTGCCTTGAAAAATACTGTTTATTTTGTAAGGACTGGTTCAAATGTCACTCCTTCTATAAATGCTTCCTTTATTCCTATCTTTCCCACTGTAGAAAATTAATTGCTTCTTCCTATGTGCTCTTATAACCTTAGTTAATGATTCAGCAATTCTCTCTACTGACGAATTTCAGGTGTTTCAGATTAAGTATTTTTGTCTTAATGATAATAGTTAACATTTATTAAACACTGACAATGTTGCAGACACTGTGCCAAGACCTTTCTTCCATTTTCTCATTTTAATTCTTATACATGTATAATGGAATTATGATAAATCCCATTTTAAAGATAATGAAACAGAAGCTTCAGGAGGTATAGCAGAGATAACATTCCCCCTGGTGTCCCTTTACTGATAGAACCTAAACCTCTAGTTTAAGTTGTAATGCATGGCTGCCCTACTAGAGACTACATTTTGAGGACTCCCTTGCAGTTGGCTCTGAGCTTGTAACTGGGTTTGGGCAAATGGGATGTGGATGAAGCCGTATATTTTATTTCTGAGTCTTGGCCTTATAATATTTCCTTGGGATTTGAATGAGTACATGGCAGGAACACAGCATCAACCAAGCAGACGAAGACAATATATTTAGAGAAAACACTGGCAAAACTGGGTTTCTGAAGGATCTTTTGAAGCAGAGCTCATCTGGACTCACGTGTCGGGACTATTAAAAGAGAGAAATAAATGACTACCCGATTTAAGCTACTATGCCTTGGCATCTCTTATGACAGATGTGTGGCCTTTGCCCTAATTAATATGCAGAGTTAAATAAACTTATCTACGGTAATAGGTAGGATCAAGATTCAAGCCCAAGCAGTCTGAATTCAGAACCTACATCTGTTCATCTTTGTATTCCAAATTTCCAACATAGTGCCTGGTACAAGAGAGTTCAATACATGTATGATGAATTGAATAGAATCTTCCTCTTGGGTAATAGCTTTATACCCTAACTCTACCAATATTTCACCTGAGCTGCTGACAAGTGCAAAATTGATTGATTTGAGATTTATCTCTTCTCCCGTCTAGCCTATGCAGCTGATTTTCTGATTAACAGTAAAATGCTTCATTGCTGACAGTACATCCTCTCAAAAGATTAAGGGGGGAAAATCTAATTAATACCCCTTCAGGCTATTTTAACTACAATTCACTTTTAGTCCACAGTTGAAAAACATAAGAAGCTGATGACAAATATGTTAAAGAATATAACAACGTATTCAAAAGGCTGCCCAGAATTAGAGCCTGCCTATTATTATTCCTCAAAAGAATTGTCTCGACTCAGAAGCAAAATCCCAAACAGTGGGAAATAATTGCTTGCACTACATTTACACATGCCTATGGGAGCTAGTCTCTTGTTAAATTAATTTCCAATTTGATTTTATTACTGTTGTCTTTAGTTGAAATGTCTTGATTGTCCTTTCCCTGATCTGTGAACATGTACCATAAATGTTCCAAACTTCCCACAATAAGTTCCACATTGATAGGAGGAGCGTCTTATATGCAATGGACCCAGTGAGCTCCTAGAAGGATATGAGGAAGTAAATACAAGAATGATTCAAACTATGTGTTCTAAAAATGTACATGTTGGCTATGGTATGGTAAATTCAGTACAGTCACAAGAGGAAATGAGAACGAGGTTTGGAAGGAGAAAGTTTATTATATTCACAGGGCTCAGAGAGACGGGTCAGAACCATGCCACACAGGGCAAAGAACTAGGTTTTGGTCAGGTGGCAGAGGCTAGGAGAGAGGAGCTTATTGGGATTTTGGAAAGGTAAGGTAGGTAAGAGTAAATAGTTTAGGATTGGCTACTTGGAATAATTTCAGTGGGCTATAGAGGAATCTCTAGTTGCCTGGTACCCAGCCCTGGGATAATTTATGGCATGTGAAATATTGACTTGGTGTATAAGAACTAGATAAGGAAGTGGTTGAAGCTGTAGACTCATAATTGATTGGTTTACATATGAAAATTGTGATCCCGGCCATTTGCTATCACTAAGAACTGGCTAGCTCTGGATGGGTCAGTTCCTCTTCAGTCAGAAAGCGATTGTAACATGTCAAACATTATACAATACAGAAAGTAAAAAATATGATTAATACATCATGCATTAAGGAGTTTACATCACACAGGAAGCAAGAAGTCTGCACATTCAAAGGTAAATAAAAAGGCAATGATCTAACATAATGATGATATTTTTTAATAATGACAGCAATATATATTGAATACTTACATGTTGTATTAGCTGATTTCTTTTCTTTTTTTTTTTTTTTGAGAAAGGATTTTGCTCTGTTACCCAGGAAAGACTGCAATGGCATGATCATAGTTCATTGTGGCCTCAAACTCCTAGGCTCAAGAGATCTTCCTGTCTCATGCTGCAGAGAAGCTGGGACTACAGATGTACACCACCATGCAGGCTAATTTTTGTATTTGTGTATGTGACCCAGGCTGGTCTTGAACTCCTGGTCTCAAATGGTCCTCCTACCTCAGCGTCCCAAAAAACTGGGATTACAGGCATGAGCCACCATGCCTGGCCTAGGTGCTTTTTTCATATACGCATCACCTCATTTAAACCTCACACCCATCCTGTGTGTTAGATAATAGCATAATCCCAATTTACAGATGATTACATTGAATTTGTCATGTGCCCCTAAACAAATACCTATTAAGTAGCAGAAGTGGTTCAAATCCAGGTTTGAATAACTTCAAAGATCCTGCTCTTAATTTCTTTCCTGTGCTGATTTCTGCAAATATGAATAGTGCCAAGATTGAAATACAGAGTAAATGTATTAGGTATTCAGAGCAGGAAGAGGCTGCTTTTGCCTAAGTGGTCAGAGAGCTACAAAGACTTAATTGAAGAAGATAAAAAAAAAAACTGCAGCAGCTACCATAAGCCATCTAAAACCAATGCTGAACCACCATACAATTTTCTCTAGTTCAAATCAAAAACCTTAGAGATGGCAAGTGATAAGAACAGGCAAATGAGAGGAAAAATACTAAGAACTATATAGTAAGAACTATCCTTCCTAATTTTGTTAGAAGGCCACTGTATTACTATCTCAGGACCATGAACTTTCTGTCTTGTGATTCTCAAAGTGTGTTTCATTGACCACTTACTTCAATTTCATTAGTTTCAAAATTTATAAATTTATAAAAATACACATTCTTAGGTTGCACCCTGGAGGCAAGTGGAACCCTAGAATTTGGACCCAGTGAACTCAGCAAGTTCCTCAAGTAATTATTAGGCACATTATAAGAGCCTGTGCTAATCCATCCATTATTCATTAAGGGGTTGAGATGAAAGTGATTCAAGCCAGGCTAACCAGATACCCACTAATATAATATGCATCTGGAGAGTGGGGTAAGAGATGGGAGATAAGGAATAGGAAACAAATCATACTAACTTATGCATATAAACACTTCATTTTTATGGAAGAAATAAAGATACAATGAATTTCAAAGGAACACTAAAGGAAAGTAAGGATTTTAAAAAGCAGAAGTAAAACAGGATGGAAGGACATTGCCATAGGGGAGAGTATATGCTGGTTGATGGTTAACATCAGTACTCCTAGGGTATTTTTATGCCCCGTGTCTCATGTTGCATGTCCTTGTCTGTTCTCTCCCATCTGAGGGAGAGGGAGGGAGACAGTGAGAGAGAGAGAGAGAGAGACAGAGAGAGAGACAGAGAGAGAGAGCGAGAAAGGAAAAGAATAGGGCAATTGCCTTGTTCTAGAAATAGCTCTGACAACAACAAAATAAAATCTTACAAAAATTTCAGTGTTCACATTCCCTGGGGAAATATATGTAATCCAAGAAGAAAAATTACCTGTGATTCTCCTCTGGTCAGAATCTTTAGATGATTTGTCACTCTTTTTGATTTCTTGCTAATTGAATGAATATTTAGTTTAGACAATTTGTCTTTAAGTGATTCATCCTCATCACTCTTCTTGTATTTTAAAACTGAAAAGGAAGAATGCAATGACATATCTGAACACACACAGCATTGAAAGTGTGCACTTCCCCCAAAGTTTTCAGGATTGGTATTTACATTCAATATATAAATCTATATAATTTTTGCCCTGGTGTGGTGGCTCATGCTGGCAATCCTAGCATTTTGAGAGGCTGAGGCAGGATTTCATGAGCTCAGGAGTTTGAGACCAGTCTGAGCAACACAGCAAGACACTGTCTCAAAAAACCAAAAAGAAAAAAAAATCAATATTATTTTTAACTCCCTTCTGCAGATGCCATATACTCCAGCCTCACTGTCCAGTCATGTCCCCACCCCACTGACCTTCAGAAACACAGTCATTCAAGGACATGACACAGTCTATGACTAGGAAGTTAAGACAAATAAATCTGCTTACTATAATCAAGCATACAGTTATGTTTACTACAGCATTTTTTTCTAATAACAAAGTATTGGAAATAAACATTTATCCGTAGGGGAACAGTTTGACAAATTATTATATATTCATAAATGGAATATTATGAAAACAATATAAAGAAGGTGATATTAATTGGAAGAATCTTCATAATACACAAGGCCTGATAATTAAGTTCATGAATTCATCCTAGAAAAAGTGCTAAATATCTCATTACTGAGAATCATTATGGTCACCTTCAAAGTAATTCCTTAGGGAAGCTATGCACTGATGACCAGCACCTCATCCACCCATCAAAGTAATTTTGGAACAATTTTTCTGGAATGGCCATCAGAGCAGTCATCATGAGAGTGTCAGAATTTAAATTAAATCAATGAACAAACATTAAATTTCTTGTTAAACTTGGAAAGAATGGAAGTGAAATCAGGGACAGATTAGTCCAAGTTTATTAGGATAATGCCATGAAGAAAAAACAGTTGTGTACAAATGGATTAAACATTTTTTGAAGGGGAGAGAAAACATCACTAATGAAGAGAGGTCAGGATGGCCGGTAATGAGCAGAACTGACAAAAACATGACAAAAATTTATTGAATTGTGTGTCAGAATAGTTGACTGACTGTAAAAAGCATAGAAGACCAAATAAACATCAATAGGAAATAGCTAGGAAAATCTTTACTGAAAATATTGGCATAAGAAAGGTGTGTGCAAAAGTGGTCCCAAAGGAGCTCTTGCATCATGACAATGCAACAGCTCACACAGCACTGTCTATGAGGGAGTTTTAGCCAGTAAGCAAATAACTGTATTGGACACTCCCTACACACTCCCTACTCCCTACTCACCTGATCTGGTCCCCAGAGACTTTTGTCTTTACCTGAATATAAAGGAAATATTGAAAGAAAGACATTTTGATGATATTCAGAACATCAAGAGTAAAACGACAACAGCTCTGATGGCCATTCCAGGAAAAGAGTTCCATAATTACTTTGATGGGTGGACTAGGCACTGGTGTGGGTGCATAACTTCCAAAAGGGAGTACTTCAAAGGTGACTGTGGTGATATTCAGCAATGAGGTATGTAGCACTTTTTAAAGGATGAATTCACAAATTTAATTTTCAGAACTCATATAATTAAATTTGAAAAAAAAAAAAGCAAACTGTAGTGCCTTACATGTTATAGAAAGGAAGGAAAGAAGTGAAGATGTGAAAGGGAGGGAGGAAGGAATGGACAGAGGGACAGAGAGAAGAAACTGGAAAAAAGATGGAAATCTGAAGACAATTTAATAAAATATTAGCTATGCAAGTTGGAATCATGGGAGTGGAAAAATTTTACACTTTAGAACTTTAAAGTAGTTTAATCAAAGAGAAAAGTAGCAAAAATAATATAACAGCCATTATCCACCTTCCAGCTTTGTCAAATCTTAACATTTTGCATTGTTTCTCATATTTTTATTTTTTTTAAAAAATCACAAAACAGTTGAAGTCTCTGTGATCCTGATGTTTGATTCCTAAAGGGAATTGTTATCCTAAATATTGGGGTTTATTTACTAGTATCTACTTTTATATCTTTGCTGTGGATGTTTGGAATCATACCCATACATAGTATTATTTCTAACTTTTTTAAACTTCATAAAAATGGAACCATATTACACATATTCTTCTATCACTTGCTAATTTACTTTTTAAATAACCCAAGATTATGTTTTTGAGATTAACTTAATTGATTCACATGACTTTTATTTCATCAATTTTTTATCTTCTTATTCTACCACAGTGTCTAATAAGCAGTTTATTTATCTATTGTCTGAATAAATATGTAAACCTCTTTTTTTACACTTATGTTCAATGCTCTTTACTAGTCTATATCTTTTGGAGCACACGGGCAAGAGTTCCTTTAGAACAAATACCTAAAAATTGATGTCTGAATCTCTGGTGTGTTCACCTTCTATTTTGCTAGATATTGTCAAATTATTCTCTAAAGTGGTGATTCCAATTTACTTTCTTACCTGTACTTTGAGATTCAGCATTTAGCATTATTAATTTACTCTTTTCCCCAATCTGTTGAGTTGGTAATTGTAGGTTATTATGATTTTAATTTGCATTTCCCTGATTATTAGTGAGGTTTAGCCTTTTAAAACTTTTTTGTTTTTTCAGTGAATTGCTTTATTAACCCTTTTTGTATTAAAATGTTTTTATTATTGATTTAATATCAATCATTATATATTCTAGACAGTAATCCTTGTGTGCTGTCTTTTCATTTTGTTTATAGTGGCTTTTATTCTATAACTTTCACTTTTTCCTGTATATTTTCCTTTACAATTTTAATTTATTAGTACAAATATATTACTTTTTGAAGAAAATTAAAAAATAAAACAAACAATAAATGAAGTTGTTGAACCAATTAGCTCTAATGTCCCACAATTGCTTTAATGTTGAATTGAGATTCAATATTAGGATTACAGATCCAATTAAGAAATTTATAGACACAAATCACTGAAGGAGGACCCACAGCCTATCCCAATGGAATATATAGGAACCATATAGTGATCCCTCCTGTTTTGAAATCTACATTTTTCATTAAACACTAATTTTATATCTTAGCATACCAAATAGTTAACAATAATTTATTAATTTTAGAAACAAGTATACTTGTTCCCAACAGTAGAGAAATTATTGCCAAAAAAAGTGCATTTTCTACGTGCTAAGACAAATGAATCCAATGTACTAGAAAGGCCCCCTCGCCTGAACCTGCCCCTTTCCCAGACACTTTATACATTAGCTTCCCTCGGCTATGGTTACCTGGCTATGTCTCCTTATCACACATACCTCTAATGATTGAAGGACTGTGCTATAGGACTATGCTATGGGCATCTTCAGTCCATATATGTCACCAGGAATGTGGTGGACAAATGAGATTGAGTGTATGGGTGTTTGATTTTTTTTATTGTCATTTTTTGGTGCCTCTTGATATCCTCAACCCAGTCAGCGAGGCAAAAGCCACAGTCTCCTCCCCAGTTTCTAATTCTAGAATTCAAATCACGTTTACGGCAACTGCTATAACTACTTAGATGTTCTGTTTCCCAGAAACATAAACAGGACATTGCAGTCATGGAAAAAAACCAGTTCATCATATCTCATCCTACCTAAATCTTTCCTTCTTTTAAGTTCATTGATGTTAACATTAATGTCTTTTACTGCAGCAAAGGCATCCTCTAGTGCTCTGTAATCTGGGTGGGAGGAAGGAGTAGAATTCCGAAGTTCACACAGTAATAAGGGATATTTCATCACACGCTGAATTGGTTTGATCATCAAAGATCCCATGTCCAATAAGTTTGGTTTACCTCTATAATAAAGATAAATAGCATCAGTTTAACAAATATTTGTTTTACTAACTCTTTTCATTTTTGTGATTAAAAAAAATTATTACACCTAAAACAGTTTTTCTCTTTTTTTCCATTTGGTTATATAAAACTTCTAAATGAAAGCAAGGACAAAAGATGATAGACAGAAACAAGACTGAAACAAACTACTAAACAAAACAAAACAAAACAAAAAACCTAAAAGAAAATAAACAGGCATATCTGTCCACCAAAAGGGATCAAAACATGATTTCATCAATATTCCATGTACAGTTTTTAAAAAAATAAGTCGTTATAATATAGTAAGAAACAATTTCAAAATGTATTTTCCATGACAACCAAGAAAAAAGCATTTTCCTGATGGTATTTTTGTGATTATTAGGAAGAAAATAAACTTGTTATTTAAAAATCTAAACAGATGACTTGCAGTGATTTCTAAAAAGCCACTTTATGCAAAGAGATGAATACAGAGATGCTATAGGTAAGAAATATAGTCATCCTTTTCAAATCCTAATAGGTGGATTTTTCCAAACTTCAATAATTTTTTAAAGCACTAATATGTACAAATGACAGATCACATAATTAAAATAGTAAAACAGATATAAAATGTTAAACAAGATTAGAAAAATGGCATCATTAGAAAAGTTCTGATCACATCTTAGAGACCACCTAATTCAGTTCTTCATTTGATAAATGAGAAACCAAGGAACTATGATTATCACATGCACACACACCCCAGACATCTCCCCATTTTATTTTTATCATATTATTTATTGCTATCTAAATATCTTGTTTCCCTATATACCTGTTTATAGTCAGTTTCTCGTGCCACTGTATCTCCAGCATGACATAGAGTACTTTCTCAATGCATGTTTGTAGACTGAAAAATGATAAGAATTTTCAGAGTTTCTGTAATGAGCTTTAATTTTATATCCAAGTTTTTTCGCCCAAAAATTGCACAATGGTCCAGAATAAATGATTGACAAATTTTGTTTGCATACAGAGACAATGATGATAGCATAATAGAGACAAAGACTAAAGCAAACCCAAAGGCAACTTTTTTTAAAAAAAGAAAACCAGAATAAATATTAAAGATTTGCAAGGAAGTAAAAAATTGCTTTAATATGCTTTATCTTGTACTTCCTAACCATTTCCACCAAATATATTAAGGGAGGAAAAGAGGGAGGTAAGAAGAGAGGGTGACAGAGAGGGAAAAAGAAAGAGAGAGAGAGAGAGAGAGAGACAAAGAAAAGAGAGAATCAGAAAGGAAAGGAGAAAGAGCAAGAAAGAGAGATTGAATATTGATTTCCTGGATGATTGAGTGAAATAAATAAAAAGGAAATGTATTATAAATACTGAAAAAGTAACTAAAACATATTTTCTAACTGATGGTATGTCAGTAGCAGAACATTTTAATACGAAGGACAGCATTTTCTTATATATCTTAAGTGGAGATTCTTCAAAAATACAATCAATTTAAACACTTAAGTAGAAATAAATCCCTTAAACCAGGCTTAGTGGCTCAGCCTGTAATCCCAGCGCTTTGGGAGGCTGAGGTGAGTGGATTGCCTGAGCAACTTGGCGAGACCTCATCTCTACAATAAACCAAAAATTAGCTGGGCGTGGTAGCGCACGCCTGTAGTTCCAGCTACTTGGAAGGCTGAGGTAGAAGGATCGCCGGACCACCTAATTCCGGCCACTGCACTCCAGTCTGGGTGACGGAGTGAGACTCCAACTCAACAACAACAAAAAAAAAGAAATAAGTCCCTTAAATAAGAAACCAGTCATGATATGGAAAGTATTAAATTGATTGTAGGAAATCATACTATCGTTATGAATGTGATCAGAATTTTTTCTGAGCTTCTCTTTTATCACCAATTATTGATTTATTTGATCTTTTAAAATAACTGAAAATACTGTCAAAATATAAAAATAATCAAACTTCTCAATAAAAGAAAATCTAACTTTAATAAGATAGATTATTAGTTTATTAGTGTGATTATTGTTATACGTGTACTTCTTATTTTTGATTACAAAAAAATCCAAAATCCCCAGAAGTATTAAAGGATGTATTTGTATCTTTGAACTGCCCTCCTTCCATTCTTATTTAGATCTGCCAAAAAACCAACCTAGGCTCTTTAGTTGTGTCCAAATCATATTATTATTTCTTTTCCATCATTCTTTGGCACAAAAGCTCTATTCCCTTCCTTTTATGTTTCAAGGGACAGTAGTAACAATTATAAATTATTATTGTTTCTCTGAAAAACATCATGAATGCAAATTCTAAAATGGCAATCTCAAAATTGAGAAATCTCCCAGACACTTTTGACTTCAGACATATACTTCAGACAGTTGCCCAAGTGATGGGCAACGATGACCTGATATCTGCATGACACAGACAAGCAATATGGAAGAAAAGATAGAGGATGTGTTATAAGATAATGACATCCTACGAATTCAGTGCCACAAAGCTCACCCCATTTAATCCCACCAAGATTAAGTTCTGATACCACGCGAGGCAGAGGAGTCCGATGTGTGATATAACCCATCTCAGCAAAGGCACCAATTATTACATGTCTCCCCTACAGCAAGTAACCAAATGTGTAACAGTTCCCCATACATATTGGGCTGAAAACTAAACTAGTTATTAATGTGTAATTCTGTTTCATCTTAGTCTTTTTTATCGTGAATTTTTTGGCAAGTATTTAGCACCATAAGTAGCTACACTAATCTCATTACAAAATATTGTTGGGACTTTACAAAGTCAAGTAAACACAGCTGGCTTTGTTTTAGCAGCATTCAGTTTTGCTGCAAAGAGTTAACATCAAATACCAAAAAAAAAAAAAGTTGTGCAATGAAAATAAAAATGACATTTAAACAATGTAAAAACTATACTGGAAAACAGAAGAAAATAGATATTCAACATGAGACATATTTATATTTCTTGATTTGAAGGAAAAAATAAGAGAAGAAAAATTATTCATGAAACTATTAGCCATGCTACTTTGAATTTCCTCTATTTTATGGCCACAAGCATCCTAAATTTAATATTTATTTTACAGTGACAACAACCATCTATACTGCTATGGAATTGTTTTCAATTTACCCTCCTTTTAAAATATCTAAGTAAATTTTAAAAGAAACTGTATGATCTATATAAATAAACAAGTAGCATTTGTCATAAATTAAATATAACAGTAAGAGTAAGTATGTAATAATTATTAAATTTCAGAAACTGTAAAGGAGATGAATGATAACTTATGTAGCATTCCCCAATTATTCATTAATTAGAGTCATTAGGTATCTATGAAAGTGGGGAGTAAAGGACTGGAAATTAATATGGGGAGGATAAGTTGAAAACCTGTTTAAAAACAGCCCCTTTAAAAAGTAGACAAAAGACATGAATAGACATTTCTCAGAAGAAGATATGCGGGCAGCCAACAGACATGAAAAAGTGCTCAGCCTCATTCATCATCAGAAAAATGCAAATCAAAATCACATTGAGATACCACCTAACCCCAGTAAGAATGGCCAGCATTCATAAAACAAACAACAGATGCTGGCGAGGATGTGGAGAAAAAGGAACACTTCTACACTACTGGTGGGAATGCAAACTAGTGCAGCCTCTTTGGAAGACAGTGTGCCGATTTCTGAAAGAACTAGAAATTGACCTTCTGTATGACCCAGCAATTCCCCTATTGGAAATATACTCAGAGGAACTCAAATCATTTTACAAAAAAGATACCTGCACGTGTATGTTTGTTGCAGCTCTACGCACAATAGCAAAAACACGGAACCAACCATGTTGCCCATCGAAACTGCACTGGATAAAGAAAATGTGGTACATATACACAAAGGAATATTATGCAGCCATAAAGAAGGACAAATATATGGACTTCGCAGCAACTTGGATGGATTTGGAATCGATCATACTCAGTGATCTATCACAGAAACAAAGAACAGAATACCATATGTTGTCACTCATAAGCGAACCTTGAACAATTATAATACTATAAGAAAGCGATTGGCAGTAGTGGGAAACTGTCAGGGGAGGAGGGTTGGGATTGGCAGTTGAGGGAAACTGCTAGGGGAGGAAGGGGCATACCTCATCAACAAGGGTACCTGTATAATCAACGTGTGTATACCTAACCCTGAATTGTACCCCACATCTTTATAATAAATAAAAAAGAAAACCTATTTAAGAAACTGCCTAATTTTTAGAGTGCTACAAAAACAAGGGGTATCACTTGAGGGACTAAGAAAAAACTCTTGAAAATTCAAAGGATAATAGCAGAAATAAAAACTGACAAGTGTGGGGAAAAATATTGAGAAAATTTCCAACAAAGAACAAAAATACAAAGGAAAAGGAGAGAGAGGGAGAGAGAGAGAGAGAGAGAGAGAGAAATTACAAGACGAATCCAAGAAGTCCAATATCTAATAATAGGAGTCCCAGAAAGAACAGAGTAAATGAGGGGAGGAAATAATGAGTGAAATTATTCAAGAGAACAATGTAACTACATAGGGAGAATATAGAAATGAAAGGGGTGCATGTGTACATGTGTGTGGTGGAGATGGAGACAGGAAAGAGGGATAAATTATTGTCTTCCACAGGGGGAAGCCAAAATATAATACATAAAAAGGAAAAAATGTGTTTTTAGAATCATGAAGGTCAGCCAAAATATGTGAAAATAATGTGTTCTGATGAAGAGCATTTAGTAAGGGCAGGTAGGAAAATAGATTATTAGTTTTCTTGACAAATCCTGCAGAACTATTTTGCTGTTTTAACCATGGCTACATATTTTTTAAGAAAAATTTTTAACAGAAGGAAAATATACTATACAAGAATAATCAAGAAAATTCTGAGAAAGAAAAGTACTGAGCTGAGACTAGGTATACTGGATATTAAAATATATTATAAAGCTACAAAACTAAAAGCAATTTGGACAAATGAGAAGCACAAAATAGAAAGTCAAGTTATAAATACAAATATGTATGGAAGTTGAGTACATGGTAAATACAATATTTCTATTAAGTGGAAAAATGGATTATTCAGATGTTGTGATAAGTAGCTAGCCATAAAAAAAAAATAAAGGTGGATTTCTGCATCATTCCTTACACCAAAATAATTTCCAAATAGATCAAAATATTTATTTTTTAGAGTAAAACCTTACATGAATTTGAAGAAAACATGGAATTATCCTTTAAAAACCACATGTTGAAGTTTCTATGCAAGACACAAAATCTAAAAGCCATAGTTGAATAAAGTCATGAAGCTTATTTAAAAATTTAGGTCTGTAAAGTTGTATAAATTAAAAACAAAGCCAGAAGCAGCCATTAACATAGCAGCCATTAACTATGTTAAAAGTCAAATGATGAGCTGGAAAAATTACTTACAGTGCACAAGACAGACAAGAGTTAACATATTTGCTAATTTGAAAGACATTATGAATCAATTTCAAAAAGATGAACACCTCCATAAAAATGAAAAATTATTTTAAAAGACTATTTGTGGCTGGACATGGTGGCTCAACCTGTAATCCCAGTACTTTGGGAGGCCAAGGGGAGTGGATTGCCTGAACCCGCTGGTTTGAGACCAACCTCTACAATAAATAAAAAAATCAGCCAGGCGTAGTAGCTCGCTCCTGTAGTTCCGGCTACTTGGAAGGCTGACGCGGAAGGGTCACCTGAGCCCAGCAGGTCGACGCTGGCATACCCGTGAGTGTGTCACTGCACTCCAGCCTGGGCGACAGAGTGAGACTCCAATTCAAAAAATAAAAGATTATTCATTAGAAATGAAATACAAATGGCTAAATACAAATGAAAAATGCGCCAGGTTATTAATAATGCAAATTAAAATAACAGAATACCATTTGGGGCCAATTACATTTAAGAGTTTTAAAGATACAAATATTACACAAATATTAATTGTATCTAATGTCGGGTAATGCAGGAGTCCCAACCTCGGTCCGCGGACCGGTACTGATCCATGGTCTGTTAGGAACCAGGCTGCAAAGCAGGCGGTGGAGCCAAGCTCCGCTTGTTGTCAGATTAGCGGTTGCACTAGATTCTCATAGGAGTGCAACCCTATTGCGAACTGCGCATGCCAGGGATCCAGGTTGCGTGCTCCTTAGGAGAATTTAATGTCTGATGACCCCACCCCACCCCAGCCGTGGAAAAATTGTCTTCCAGGAAACCGATCCTTGATGCCAAAAATGTTGAGGACCTCTGGAGTCATGGATAAATGAACAACTCCTACATGGATAGTGGAAATATACATTAGCTGAATTTTTATGACATTTTCTGACAATAAATCAAAAGTACTTTGAGCCAGCAGTTGCACTCTTAGAAATTCACCCTAAGAAAATAATCAGATTATTGTACAAAGATCATGTATATGAATGAACACATAACATGCATGTTTGTAAGACAAACACAATTCAACTGTCAGTAACAGTTTGGCAAACTAAATCATGACATACATATCAGATAGAATATTATACAGCTATAAAACAACGTGGGTTTCTATTTACTGATGTGGAAAGATGTTCAGGATATATTGATGAATGAGGCAGCAAGTTGACATATGGGAAATATATAATGTTTCTGTGTTAGTATGTGTATAAATAAAAATTTTGTGAATGACGGATTTACTGCAATGTTGCAATGTTTAACCTTGGAATGTAACTACTGATTGTCATTTTTTGTAATCTTTATTTGCAATTTCTTCAATAATTTTAAAAACATAAAGAAAAAAGAAAATATTCTGTAACATTTTGAGATGAATAGAAACTGAGATCCAAAGGTGGGTCAGACAGGGAACACATGTAGAGAGGAGTAAAAGCATGAAGATAACGAAGCATTGCATTTCCGGAGACAGTTTCATTTACAATAGGTATCTTTTTCTTGCTTTAGAACATGGGATCTGTGTCAGATAATTTTGGGGGGCATCTTTAGTGGAGGGTTCTGTGATACATGTCACTTTTATACTGTCTAATATTTGCATAAGATTATAATCCCAAGTAAACATTTTAGAAGTTATAGATATATATTTTTACATGATCTGTATTTTTTTAAAATATAGTTTGCAAAAAAAATCAGGTAATTTTCAGTTGACATAAGTAAGGAATTTTTTGAATGTCACTTAAAACCCCACATTTCTTACATGCCCTTTTGGCTGCAACACTCCTGGCCTAAACAGATCAACAATTACATAGCAGTTGACATTGTCTTTTGCTCTTTTCTGTAGCAGCATGTGTGCTTCTTGACCTGAGTAAGAGGAACAGGAAAGAAAATAGCTCATGGCAAACTTGGCTTTGATGTTCATCCGGCCACATGATGTGATCATTCTTTTTTTTTTAGTTCTTGATATATAGTATAGGCTAGAGGGACATACACAACCTGAATAACTCCCACACAGCAGGATTGCTGCAAAAGTAGGGCCATTTTTAAAGCAAATGTTTCAATACAATGTACTGCTTGTTTCAAGTATTCTGTGTGTAGCAGTTTGTGCATGCTAACTGCACTGAGAAGAATGTCTCTCTTTCTCTTCTGAATCATTCTCTCCTCTCTCCTTATTTTGCTTTTTGGTTTTAAAGACCCAAGCTTTAGAAAAAGAAACCTAAGCAGAATTTGTAGCACATAAAGTTCTTCTCTAACTACTGAGTTATGCAAAGCTGCAGTCCTTGGCACAATGCCGGAGACACTGGCTTTATAATGAGGCAGAGTGCCACTCCTCTTCCCCCAAACAACTATCTTTGAAGAAAAGCCAGGAAGGCTTATATACCTCTTCAAATTCAAATGAGCTTAGAATTGGAAACTCATGAAACAAATCTACTTATATCTGTTTATCCCATAGGATTTTTTTTTTCTTTTTGAAAGAAAAGACTTATAAAGTGAGAGAACCAGTTGTCAGTCTGGCGTCTCAAATATCAGTTTCTCAACTTGACTAAGGTACAGGTCTCTATGATGTCTGATACCCTCACCTCAGTTTTGGCATACTTTCCCCACTGTTGCTCTGCACCAAAGCAGGAATGACAGGTATTTATGTCATAAATAACTTCTACTTTGTAAATTTTGTATTTCTTGATCTAAACTCTTAGGAATTTAAAATACACACATACACATACATAAACACAAGAAAACACACAAACACACACTAGAAGTGCAGACCTTAGAGAGTTACTGACCATGATAAGCCAAACATGTGCCTTTAAGTACTGGTAAATATGAGTTTGTATTTAAGTCAATATCATCCTTTCAGCCAAGACATGTTTTTCTCCTAAAAAATGAGTATCTTTCAGAGTGTGTGCATATATTGCTTTCTTAAAGTAATTTCCATATTACCCTAGTGACCACCTACTTCATCTTAATATTTTATTTCCATGTTATATATGTATGATTTTTCTCCATGAATCATACAGGAGTCCAAATTAGAGGAAACTCAATATTTTACTAGAACACATAAGGAATATTTTCTTGTGCATTCATCTATGGAACTTCCAAAAACAATATGAAATTAATGAGATTTTGTTGTTAATAGGTAGAAGTGTTTTTGGACACATTAAGATTCCTAAACATATGTATGATGAACAGTTTTTGAAGAGTTTCTGACACCAGCAAACTTACCAAATGACATATCAGGATTTTTCTTAAAAGTTTAGTACAATATATGTGCTAATTTTTAAGTAAGATAATTTCAGACAAATTGGAAATAATTAGTATTGAAATCTGATGTACTAAGTAATAATGTCTGGGGTAAATGCCTTTGCAATCCTGACTTACTTATTAAAAGCAAGACACATGATGGCAAAACTAGAAATTCTGATTTGGACATTCAAAAGCTTGTCCCTATAGCATTTGTATTTGCTTTATATTATTTTAAAAAGTACTTACTCTTGCATGTATATTTTCCTGTAAGAGAAGAAAACAAAGTAAGTTCATGCAAATGTATACATTTGAGGTAATATGCAAACATTATAAAACTTTTAAATTTTCTTATGTAAAATAAACTAATAAGTAATTTTGATGCATACCCTAAAGAATTAGTCACTCTCTCTCTCTCTTTTTTTTTTTTTTGAGTTGGAGTCTCACTCTGTCGCCCAGACTGGAGCGTAGTGACCGCTCCCAGCCACTGCAGCCTCGACCTGCTGGGCTCCAGCGATCCTTCAGCCTCAGCCTTCCGAGTAGCCAGAATTACAGGCGCACGCTACCACACCCGGCTAATTTTTTAATTTATTGTAGAGATGAGGTCTCACCTGCCCAGGCGGGTCTCGAACCCGCGGGCTCAGGCAATCCACTCACCTCAGCCTCCCAAAGGCGCGGGATTACAAGCTGAGCCACCGAGCCTGGCTAGTCTCATTATTTGATAATCATGTCCCTAAAGGTTTTTTGGGGGGTATATATATCATTCTTTCTTCACACTTATTAAATGAGATTAAAAACTGTTGATTCAGATTATAGCCAATTTTGATAATTTGAAAATAAACTTAATTTTTTGTTTGCATTGTGAAAGATCTATTAAGCATAGTAATAGGAGATCTATTAAACATTTTAATAGGAAAGAGCAAGATTACAGGATTACAAAGGAAATGTTTAGCTGATTTGCATAAACTATTACCAAGTGCTGTATAGTATCTCTGCATACAGTATAGTGTTACACACATGAATGATTCACCTACTCAATGAATAATTCTCACACAAGGCCAGCTTTTATAGTGTTCTTTTGCTCCCTCCAAGGAAAAGCAATCTATAATCTACCTTCTCCTTCCACCTCCTCTATACCTAGTTTCCTATTTTTTATCTATTACTGTGATCTGTGACAACCACACAAGCTTTTTTGCTCTTTCCAAAGCCTACCAGGAGTGCTCTCGCTTCTAGGTCTTTGCACTTTCCTTTCCTTCTGCCTGGATTGTTCTTCCTCTAGATCGCTTTCAGGTATTTGCTCAAATGCCGCCTTCCCAGTGAAGGGTTGCCTGATCAACATTTTTTTAAAAAATATTATTTTTTATTTTAATGTAAAGACGTGGGATATAATTCAGGGTTAGGTATACAAACACTGTTCACGCAGGTGCCCCTGTTAATGAAGCATGCCCCTCCCTTCCCTAGCAATTTCCCTCAACTGCCAATCCCACCCTACCCCCACCAACAGTTTCCCATTACTGCCAATTGCTTTCTCATAGCATTATAATTGTTCAAGGTCCTCTTATGAGTGAGAACATATGGGACTCCATTCTTTGTTTCTGTGATAGAGCACTATGATCGACTCCAAATCCGTCTAGGTTGCTGCGAAGTCCATATATTTGTTGTTCTTTATGGCTGCATAATATTCCACTGTGTATGTATACCACTTTTTAAAATCCAGCCCAGCTTCGATGGGCAACATGGTTGGTTCCATGTTTTTGCTATTGTGAACAGAGCTGCAATAAACCTTCATGTGCAGGTATCTTCTTTGTAATTTGAGTTTTAAAAAGTACACCCACCAGGTGCAGTGGCTCACACCTGTAATCCCAGCACTTTGGGAGGCGGAAGCGAGAGTAGTGCCTGAGTCCAGGGGTTAAAGATCAGCTTGGGAGAATTGTCAAGTCCTTGTCTCTACAATAAATACAAAAAGTTAGCCAGGTGTTGTGGTCAGCATCTGTAGTTCCAGCTACTTGGAAGGCTGAGCCCTCAGCAGATCCAGGCTGCAGTAGCCATGAGCTGCCACTGAGCTCCAGTCTGGGCTACCAGAGTGAGACTCCAGCTGGAGGGGAAACAAAAGTACACCCTGCCTCACACCATGCTTTTTATTCCCATTCCCTGCTTTATTTCTCTCCATAACACTTATATTCTAATATACTGTATAACTTTTTTATTTTGTCTATTTTTCCTGGGCACTCTCACTGCTGTAGCCCCAGTATCTAAAAAGTGACTGGCATATTGGTAAGAGCCAAAAAGATATTTGTCAAATTAGTTAGTGATAAAAAAAAAAAACTGGAAATTATTCCGGTTAAATTTAAGGAATAAATAAGATGGAAATTTTTCTTTAAAAACCTCAGGTGCCTATAGAGAAATGAAATAACATACTATGTTTGTTACCTGATCATTGTGGCCCTTTGTTTCCAATCTTTTGGAATACAATGAACGTTTTCAATTAAAAAAGTGTATTACCCCATCCCATAATAGCACATGGTCTTTTTATATTCAGTGACTGAGAAAAAAAAAATTAATGATAAATACCTGTGCTGAATTTTATAAATTTTAATTAATTGATTTAATAAGTTTCTTATTAATCCTAATACTGCATATATGTGGAAAACAGTGATGTATATGTGTAAAGCAGCTTGCTTCCTCAATCTTCAGACATGTTATACGAATGAATTCATTGTCTAAGACCTCCTAAATAGTAATTAAACACAGAATTATAATTTCTTTAAAATCAACAACTGTCATAATTTCAGGCAACTATTAAAGAATGCTTCTACTGCAATGAAAGAAATTACATCACCACTACCTGTTAACCAATATTTCCTTCCATTCATTTTCTTGAAGCTCACATTTTTCCCTAATTTCTATTCCCTTCTTAAAAAATATTTTATTTTCTCAATATTCTTTGTGGATCAAAAAATCAAAAAATTTGGGAGAGAAAAATGAATAAAAATAAAAATACAATTTTCCATGGAAACAAGTGAACAATGTGATTATATAGGAAACAAAATACATACTTTGAAATTGAAATAAAAGATAAAATTTTTATATTTCATTTATTTCAACCAAGAAAGACCTGAATATTATAACAAATTAAAGCTATGTTTTATGTAGTATCACATTTTATAAAAAGGAATGATTTTTCAAGAGGGGAAACCACAGTCTGTGGAGTAGGAATTATAACATCTCCTTTTAATTTTCTCATCATTAAAAAAAATCTTTTAGGTTAAAAACTTTCCAACAGTTAATCTCAACCAAGGACAATTCAGGAAGAAGTAACTTAAATTGTATCTATTTACCCTTTATGGGATAAAATAATTTAATATATCACCATATTTCTTACCCCTTGTAGGTTCATTATAAATTGACTCACAATTAACAAAAGTTTATATGTGGCTTTTTTTTTTTTAAGGATTGTAGTCTTTGTTCAGACATGATGCTGTATAACAAGGCTCAGATTTTCAAAAGTGATTTTAATTTTTTACTTGGAACACTCCATTAGAATAATAAACATAAAATGTGATGGACAAATTGAAATGAGTTCCTTTAGGTTTTGCATTGCATGAGTTTTCAGTTTTCTCTTCGAATTGGGTAACGTGAGCAGCAAAAATGCCCACACGACTAGAAGTTAGTTTTCCTCCTGAGGATGATGGCCTTGATTAGCAAGAAGAAAAATATGGATACATTTATAACAACTAGACACGAAACTGGAAATGTGTCTTCCATTCATTTAGAAAATCCCATTCATTCTTTTTCTATTAAAAAAAATAAACAGCTTTCTGGGACCTCTGAAATGCAACAGGAACTTTGGTGGTATTTATAAATGGAAAACAGAAAAAGGAGGCAGCAGACAGGCTAGTCTAATTATAGCTACTCTTGCATTTATAGCCATTCTATTTTTCACTTTTTGCATACAGATCAGAAACTTCAAATAACCCCGAAAAAGGCAAAGTAATCAGATCTTTAGCAAATAACTTCCATAACCTTAGAGATTGTATTAATACAACATTTTCACACAGTCTTAGGGGTTACTAATGAGACTCTGTGAACACTTCAGGTTGAATAAATAAAAACTTGCTAATTTCCTATGTGTAGGGTATTGATGCAGATGTGTACTGTGTTTCTGAATAGCTTTAGAGTCTCTTCTTTTTCAAGGTCTCCAAACTCTGAAATGACTGCTTATATCATATCTATAATGATGCAAAAAAGTCCACCTGTTTCAGGGAAAGTAGAACGAGTTCTGCGGGCCTGATTTTTCCTTCTAACGTAGTTCTTGAGTGTGTTATGGAAAATCACCTGGGGAGGTTGTTAAACATGCAGATCCTGGAGTGAATCACCAGCAGTTCTATGTTTTGGGTCACAGGAAAAGTATAGGAATCCACACATTGAATACATGTCCCTGGTGGATCTGGCACAGGGGAACTCACACACAGAAAACACTGCCCTAATGTTTCAAAGGCATTCAATATTATTCTCCCATTAACAGATAACGGACTTCAAAGAATAACCAAAGGTTATGATCTCAAGTCTGTTACAGACCTAGGCGATATCTATACCACTCTTTTGGAAATTAGTCCTAAACTGCACCTACAGTAAAAGCTTCTGGTGTTATTTAAATTTATACTTATATTGTCATTAAACTTTCCACATGGTTTTGTTTATTTCCCCAACTAGAGTTTGTGTTTCTAGGAGGTAAGAACCATGTTTATGCTTAAAAATATATATTTTGAGAGGTAGGGAAGATGGCGACCGAGTCAGTCAGACTATGTGAGTCCCCATGTGAGTGAGTGAGTGTATGGAAAATTTTGTGTACATGCTGGTGAGCGAGTGGGCATGTGAGTGGCTGACTGAGTGAGGGCTAGGCAGCTGGTGGCCAGGGCTCTCCTGGTGCAGCGCCTGGTACCACAGCTGCTGGGTTTGGACCCTAGTGGAACACAGAAGCCCAGTGTCATTTTCTTTTCTTCTTCTTTTTTTTGAGTTGGAGTCTCACTCTGTCGCCCAGACTGGAGTGCAGTGGCCGCTCCTGGCCACCGCAGCCTCGACCTGCTGGGCTCCGGCGATCCTTCCGCCTCAGCCTTCCAAGTAGCCGGAATTACAGGCGCGCGCTACCACGCCCGGCTCATTTTTGATTTATTGTAGAGATGAGGTCTCGCTGCCCAGGGGGTCTCGAACCGCGGGCTCAGGCAATCCACTCACCTCAGCCTCCCAAAGGCGCGGGATTACAGGCT